ATCTGAAATGCTTATGTATGATTTACATTTACGGCAATAATATTAATAATATCAATAAAATTTCTTCACACTCGTCCAGGTTCTAAATATTGTGGATGAGATTCGCATCACGTTCTCTGTAAGTAACAAAGTCACGAATCATATAATGCCTTGTCGCACCCGGACGAATTCGGCATGCTAATATCTTCTGAATGTGTTTATTTATCATCATGTATAAAATACACATCGAAAAAAATTTAGTGCCATTGTTTCTGGCCGAGAGGACAACAATACGTGAATAAAATGCAATAGAAATGAAAGGCGAACTGATTAAAAATCGGTTTGTTATTTGTGTAGAGAGAATCGGGTCTTATTGGTACACATTGCATTTTCTGGTGTAAACATGGAGAAGTTAGAATTTGTGAATACACGCTAAAAATTTCCAAACGTCAATTTCAAATATGTGGGTATCTTATATATAAAATTCTTCTGATACTTCTCCTAAACGGTTATTCGGATTTTGATAATTCTTTTTGGAATTTGTAGAAGAAAATTTTTAAGATTGAATGAACGATAAAACTATAGTAATATTGTAGAAATAAAAAGCAAAAGTGACAAAAAACCCCTTATCATTTTTTGACATGGAAAACATTTGAACTGCCATCTGCTAGAAATGTCAATTCACGTGAAATTTAAATGTAGCAGAAATTATGAGCCAAGATAATATACAAGAAAAATGCAATCTGCATTGTTGTTGCCGAAAAACAGCTGAGATATGCCAGAAATTAAAATAAGGTAAGATACAGTAAACAGTCATGTTTGGCAGATGAAATTATATAATTCAATTTAATAAATTACGCAATAAGTCCAAAATTGCATATACATTATTTGTTCAAACTTATGCATGTCACATTTTGGTTTACTTTACTAAATTATTTAAAAATACAAAAAAATACTTCTACTTATTAAAAAAAAATTTTTTTAATTTTGTTTCAAATTAATTCACCTAAGATTTGAACATAAACAATAATGTTCATTAAATTCTTAGTAAGAAAAATGTACTGTAGAACTTATAATTGCCAAAAAGCAACTAATATATCGTACCTAATAATGAAAATTATGGACTAAATTATTGAAGCAATTATGTAGTGTGGCAAAATCAAATGTGATATTGTTCTTTTACCGCAGATACTATATTATTTTTTTCTGAATTTCTTATACTGCTTTATGCTAAGATCATAAATGAATCACAAAGGCAGGACATCAAATATCGAATAATAATATATTGAAAAGTATAGGATAAGATACTAAAAAAATTAGAAGTTTTGAGTTGTAGACGTGGGTACAGAACAACGTTTGTCGGGTCATCTAGTATATATATATATGATGATAGTTTTGATATATATATATATATATATATATATATATATATATATAATTTATTTTAATTTATCTGGTTAATATATTTTAACCAGACTGCTAAATCCTCTATTAACTTACACAAAATCTTTCATTAGACGGAAACGTAAGTAAGTTTTCCTTATACTTATATTTTTGTTAATGTTGTTGGTTTTTTGTGACATGTAATGAATATTAATTAGATTTACAGTAGGTTTTATCAAAAACCGATTTATTAACTTTGGTCATAAAATTGTCAAGTTGTTACAGTGAACTCCGCTAATCTGGGCTTCTACAAAACCTAATGTACTTTGCACGTTATCAATATAAATCGAACGTATTTTTAACTTCCCGTAGGGTAAGTTATTGTAATGGGCCGAAAATCGGAATTGAAAATTTTTACATTTCTCGACGTTTTGAAGGTTTCTGAACGTTTTGGCATACCTCAGAAAAAATGGATGTGTGTGTGTGTGTGTGTGTGTGTGTTTGTGTGTGTGTGTGTATGTATGTATGGATACAAATTTTCGTCCACGTTTTCGGGCGTACGGATCAAACGATTTGAATGGTTTAAAAAACTTCGATTCCTATTAATAAGGAGAAGAGCTGATTAGTTTTTGGCAAAGACAGGTCCAGCAGTTACGGAGATAAGGAGCAAAGAGTGCAGAAAATAGAAATCGAGTTTTTTGAGAGACGGAGCTCCGATTTGAATTATCTAAAAAACATTCCATTAGTAATGATTGGGAGAAAGGGTTATTAGTTTTTCGCAAAGGCAGGCCCAGCCATTTCGGAGATACAGAGCTAAATGTACAAAAAATGGCAGTTTTTGAGAGAACTAAGCGTCCGATTCAATTGATTCAAAGAACTTTCTGCTTGTCTTAACAAAATAATTGATTTTGGAAAAAAAAATTTGTACCATTTTTTTTATTTTTTTTATTTTTTTTATTTTTTTTTTTTTTTTAATTTTTTGTATATCGAAAATAATTCAGATTTTATTTTTAATTCTGACTATAGTTCTAATATACTTTAAACAAATAATTTCAACTCTGCAATTCAGTTTATATAATTATTATAAATATTAGACAATAATACAATATTTATAATAATCTATTTGAAAACATTCAATATTCCTCGAACGTTTCGTTACGGTACGGGAAGTTCCAGCAATTTGCCTTAAGGCACGATGCCACCCACCCCACTAGTTAATTATTGAAATCGATTAATAAGCTCACTTAAACATGATCAAAACTAATTGGTTTATTAACCACGCGATGCTTAAAATTTACCTGAAGAATCCAAAACTTTCCAAAAAGTTTCCAAAAATTTCACGAATTATTCTAAGCACCAAAAATACACATAATGTTGCATGGGGGTAGGGGTTAATATAAAAGATCATCACAGATAATCAAGGGAAAGTCCAAAAATCCTTAAAAAGTGATCACGTTAATGGACGCCCTCTTTTCGTCTTAATAGTCTCGTTTTTCTGCCAAATTTGGGTTCCGTAATAATTAAACAAAATAAGTCCTTATAATCATAGTAAAATGATAATATTATATTTTATACCGTGAGCCCCGATCTCCCCTATATTTTATATTGTCATTTGTATTTGATACTTTGCGGTCAATTTGTTCAGTTGTTTTGATTTACATACATTGAGTTGTAAAGAGAACGAGTCGTGTGGTTTTATTCCAAAAGCCGTAGTTAATCTGGAATTTTAATGGCTGAAATTTACATATATACATATAACAATTCTACTTTCTATAGTTAAAGGGACTTGAACTTCGTAAAATTTAAAATAAACGTTCAAAATTATAAATGTAAAAGGCTATTTTAATCCGCCTTTTTCATATTAAGCATACTAATTGTACATAACATTTTCAGATATTTGATGGGTAGTTGTAATTTTATTATCAAGTAAGAGCGTAGAATCAATTTAGACCTATAATTTTCGAAAAACCCGAGACAATCCGGGGCAAAAGATCTCAATCCAAGACAAATATTGCTTTCAGGAAAACTCGGGACACAAAGTGAAAATTCGGGACTGTCCCGGTGAAACCGGGACGTATGGTCACCTTATTCTAATACCGTTTGTAAAAATAAACTTAAAAATGATCAGTTGTTCTCAACATCTTGCAGAACACTTAGTACGACAAAGAAAGTGAAATTTGCGTTAGGACCCAATGGCATACACCACTAGTTACGACTTGAACTAATAAAGGACCTCTAATTTCTCTTATTATCGTTCAACCATCCTCTTCTCAAGGTTCATAACTCCGAAGTCAGTAGCCGTGTCTATTGAGTTTCCGCTCGTCAGAGATCAAATCTTATAATGTAAGCGTTTGTTTTAAAGAAATCATACATTTTCGTTGAAATAATTGAAGCAATTATATTTGTACATCGAAGAGATTTTATCGCCAGACATCCTCCACGGGAGAATACAGAGAAAATTTGTTTGTGTAATGAGTTTTTTGATAGTGATAATTAATGAACGACTGT